AAAACCATTATACCCTGATTTCCCATTTTCAATGGGTTCAGGGTATAATAATATATATTATTTATGTAAGAAGCAAAACAAGTTTAATTTCTTCTTTTATTTCTTGTATGCTTTGTTTATCGAATAACTTGTTATTTATTTTCTGCTGTTTACTTAAAAAACAACATCATTTATTTTATAGTATTTATTTAAGAAACAATGTAACTGAATTTATATTTCTTATTTAAAAAACAATGTAATTGAATTTATATTTTTTATTTAAGTCTTACATTGTTTATAATACTTAGTTAAGCAAAGTTGTATTTTGTTTTTCTTGCAGGGTCTCGAGGTAGATGTGAAGGGCGAAACGGAACTCAATTCGGTGGCCAGCCTCCTGGGCGTGCCACCTGCGGCGCTGTTTCGCGGTCTGACCACACGCACGCACAATGTGCGTGGGCAGTTGGTGAAGTCGGTCTGCGGCGACGGCGATGCCAACATGACGCGCGACTGCCTGGCCAAGGCGCTCTATTGCCGGCTGGTGGCCACGATAGTGCGACGAGCGAACAGCCTGAAGCGCCTGGGCTCTACGCTGGGCACGCTGAGCTCGGACTCGAATGAGTCGGTGCACAACCAGGCGGACGCAGCATCCCAGCACGCATCGACCATTGGCGGCGGCAATGCGGGCTCCAAGTCGATGGCCGCGCTGAACAATGCAGTGCGACATGCAACGGATGGATTCATTGGTATATTGGACATGTTTGGCTTCGAGGAGCCAACGCCGCATGCACAGCTGGAGCACTTGTGCATCAACTTGTGTGCGGAGACGATGCAGCATTTCTACAACACGCACATCTTCAAGTCATCCGTGGAGTCCTGCCGGGACGAGGGCATCGTGTGCGAGACCGAGGTGGACTATGTGGACAATGTGCCGTGCATCGATCTGATCTCCTCGCTGCGCACTGGGCTGCTGAGCCTACTGGACATGGAGTGTTCGGTGCGGGGCACAGCCGAGAGCTACGTGACCAAGCTGAAGGTGCAGCATCGCTGCTCGACGCGCCTGGAGACACGCACCGCACTGGAGCCTGACGATCCGCGACTCTTTGCCATTCGCCACTTCGCTGGTCGCGTCGAGTATGACACCACCGATTTCCTGGACACCAATCGAGACGTCGTACCAGACGATCTTGTCGCCGTCTTCTACAAGCACAGCTGCAACTTTGGCTTCGCCACGCATCTCTTTGGCTCCGAGTTGAAGGCGCTGTATGCTCAGCAGCAGGCACCGCGCGGCCTCAGCTTCCGCATCTCACCCACCTCGCACTCGGATCTACTCAACGGCGATGAGCCCGTCTCGACGCTCACGCAGGACTTCCACACACGCCTGGACAATCTGCTGCGCACTCTGGTCCATGCTCGCCCGCACTTTGTGCGCTGCATCCGGAGCAACATGTTCGAGCAGCCGGGCAGGTTTGATCGCGCGACGGTAGTGCGCCAGATCCGCTCGCTGCAGGTCTTGGAGACGGTCAATCTGATGGCCTCCGGATTTCCGCATCGAATGCGTTTCAAGCAGTTCAATGCGCGCTATCGCATGCTTGCGCCGTTTCGGCTGCTCCGCCGCACCGAGGACAAGGCTCTGGAGGATTGCCAGCTAATACTGCAATATGCCATGGGCATGGAGCAGTTGCCCGTGCAGGATGGCTCGGTCACGCTGGCCTGGGCGCCGGGCAAGCGGCATGTGTTCATCAGCGAGGGCATACGCCAGCACCTGGAGCATTTGCGCACGGAGATTCGCCACAGGAGTGCCACGCGCATGCAGGCCACGTGGCGTGGCTATTGGTGGCGCAAGAAGATGGGCAGCACTCTGAAGCAATCCTGCCGCCCAGACTCCGGCCTAATTGCTGCCCTGCCCGCCATCGCCAGCACCTGTGCTAAGCTCGTCAATGCTCACAACAATCCCAATGGCAAAGCCACCTCTGCAGCTATGGCCGCTCTAGCGGCGGTGACCAATGCAGCTCCCAGCACGGGTAAGTGCCTTTCAATGGATAATCTTTATATCACTTCTAATGCGCCTTTCTCTCTCTCTCTATCTCTGTCTCTACAGTGCCACGCCTCTCTGCAAAGTCCACAAATCCAGCTCAGTGCCTGGGCATTGGCGGCACTGTGACCCGTCCGCGACCTCAGCCCATTGCCGGCACCCCACCTCCAGATCCGCACGAGAAGTGTGACCAGAAGATTATCCAGCAAACATGTAGCCTGTTCGGATTGGATTTGGTAAGTGATGAAGTTGAGACAAGACTGTGAGGAGGAATTGTTGAGGGAGGGGATAGACAGAGTGATAAAAACTGCTAAGGTGAGATAGAGAGGTGAGCAACCCTAAGGGATGCTATAGAACCGAAAATTTTAATTACATTATGTACATAAAAATTATTTGTAAATCCTTAAAGAAAGTAAATTTTAGTGTAAAATGAAATGGTTCCAATTTCATTTAATTACATTAACAAACACTTACAGAACCCGATTTATGACCCAACAAAATCCAATCCCCCTAAAATTTTGTTGTGTACAAAAATAAAATGATTTAAATTTCATTTAATTTCATGAAGGCAGATAAAGTGTTAAAAAGAGGGAAGAGAACGAAATCCAATTCCATTTAGCATTTCATTCATCTGTTTCTGTTTTATACGAAGCACTTCTCACGCAGATTTACTATTATTTTACTTTTTATTGCATATAACTATCACACTTGGTTTGGGATTATGACGCTGTGCAGGAACGACCCCCACCCGTTCCACTGTCACGGGCTTACACAATCACGGCCAATTCAAAGAAGCTGGGCTATCCGCAAAGCCGCATCATGAAAATGAATTTTCCAGAGGACGCACTGGCTAATCCGGCTCCTGCTCTATCGCCGACGGCCTCCACTGAGCTGCAGCAGTTGAAAAAGGGCGACACCGTCACCGTGGTGGGCGCCTCCAGTGGTCGAGGTCACCTGATTGTCGAGCACAAGGGTCAAACCTATCATGTGCCGTTTCAGTATATGGAGCTAGCGTCTGGCAGCACTGCTCCCAGCAATGCCAACCTGGCCATGCAATCCGCTTTGATGTCAGCTGGACCGACTAACGGGGTGAAAATATGATTTGTTAGCACTGACCAACGAAATTCTATAAAAGAATTAGATTAAACTTTTCTGAATTTGAATCTGAATCTAGAATAATGTTCCTAGATTTCAGAGTATATCTATATTAATAGTTTTTTTTTTTTCTGAATATTCCAAGATTCGAAGGTATATCTGTCACTTAAACTTTTTGACATATTCTTTATGCTGTAACATCGTGAGCTCTTTTGATTTTGTTTTATTTTTCTAAAAATTCTTGCAGGGTATATCTATCACATAACGTTTACCTCGAAAAATCGAGAGTAAGTTTTTCTGTATTTTCTTAAGCTATCAGTAAATTTGTAATACACTACGTTTCATTATTCTTGTTGAATTTAAATTTCTTAAAAGTTTAGTCTACTTCTTGATTAATAACTTTGTTGGCCATTGTACTTCACCCATTCTAGGTGCGAGTCTAACTATCAACATCAAAGACTGTAAATAACTGACAATAGCAATAATATACATGCATATATCATATAAGAAAACTCATTGTTTTATTCTCCTAGTATTTTCTAGATTATATAATTAGGCTTAAGCTGATGTTCATTAGTATTATTCGATGCATATTACGATAGGTTGTAGCTTCCAGTGCCAATCAAGAGAGTTCTTCCAATAACTTTATTAAGATCAAATTATACCCATTACTCTATAATGATTTTATAAGCCGCCTAGCATTAGTCGCTTCTGAAGCCTCACACACCACAATGTTAAAATAAATCTCTGCGGTTCTTTATTGTTACTCAAACACAGCCTGATTCATGTCCATATATATTATATACACATATCCCATACATACAGTAGAATATATTATTGATAAGTGCATTTCCAACACACACGCACGCATAATTTTAGTTACATATACTTTGTGCTCCATTTAGTACGTACGATCTAGATTAAGCATACAATCTTATATAAGATATATCACCATAATAAAATGGATATTGTGGTCGGTTGTGTTGTCTCGCAAATAAAGTTCTTTTTTTGAAAGCAATTGCGTTTGGTTACGTTAAAATTGGAGTTGGATGGATCGTATTGAATAAGTCCGCACCTATTTACTTTATTATCTGAGCGATTGTTGAGCATGTTTGCCTCTCTGCCCGTAGTTAGTGAAAAGAAGATATTCCTTTTATGGAGATTATTTATGTCCGTCCAGTACTCCTGGGAGCTACTTAGCTTCGGGGCCACATTGACCAGTTCGTTTTCGTTTTGTAGATTGATAAGATGTCCGTCGATCTGACGACACTTTTCTACAGCTCCAAACCAATTTTGAGTCTCTTTATTTTCGAAATAATAGTATTTCTCACCAACTTTTTCGAAAGGTTCCGGAATTTTCTCTTCGAAATTATTACTTATACCACCTTCAATGAGCGCTCTTGTATTTGTGCCTGAAAATTTATGATTAATTGTGGAATATAAATAATTTTCTTCAGACCAGAACCTTCCATTAAGTTTATCATCGCTTGGACATTACACAAATTCAATAATATCAGAGCAAAACTTGAAAATATACAAGCGATTCGCTGCGTCATTTTAATGCTCAAATGTCACTCGTGCCGCTTGGAAAGAAACTGATTAAACATTCGATTGCCATTAGGCATTTATGGAGGCTTTCGCTTCTGTTAGTCAGAGAACTCGAGTAATCAAAAATATGTGGGAGTATGCAAGAAGGCGAGCTCAAGAGCAGATATTGTTAAAAAGAATGTATTACAAATTGTTTTTTAAATATATATCAAATACCTTTATCAATAACAATGAATTTCGGTCATTAAATTTCCTTTAACACTTATGCCTCCCCCACTTCTCCACTCCCCATTGCCATGAAAATGGAGGAATTGATTTGTGGCAACAAATACCAGGGAGAGTACAAACAAATTACCAGCTCGGGCAGTCCAATATCTACTTCACCTAATGGCTTTATCAGCGTTAGACACACATGTTGCTATAAGTACTGTGCTTCAGTTTCGAGTGGGACTCGAGTGTAAGCGAGCATATTCAATTGCATTTGTAGATAAATCTTCCATGTATTTACTGCGTTGCTGTTGCGCTTTTGCTATTCCCACATGGAACATTTGTTGCCGGTCTGAATTAGGCAAATGCGACTACGAGAGTTTGACTGTGGGTAGTCCTCTATTAGCTGCAAGAGCATATATACTCCTCTCGAATTCACATCGCACAATAAAGCAATAACAGTTCATAGGTATTGCCTATTGAAACGAAGCGGGATTGCCTACAAGCATAAACAAGAAATCTTTAAGTAACAAATTTAATAAAAATCTTAAGGAAATCTAGTATTAATGTTTTACAACATATACATACCTTCTGTTAGTAATTCGTTCTGAAGGTCTCACATATTGTGTGCTTTCTTCGGCCATCCCAGTAGTTAATATTTAATTTTATAATATCTATTAGTAATTAGTGAGGTACCAGACAAAATATCGTAGCATAACTTAGGGGGCAACGGCTATGGTAACAGGTGAAGAGAAATGTTAGTTAAAATAATAACAGTTCGTAAACAGTACACTGTTGGCTCTGCTGATAACTAACAATTTCACCGTATAGGATCATGTTGATCTACTGTTATTTAACACGATACTGTTAATCAACATGATTATGCTAATATACTGTATAATAACAGTGGTGGTAAGAAAGTAGTTTTACTGTGCTGTTAACTGAAAGACATGAATAGTAGCTGAACAACTCTCATGTTAAACTAGCGTTTCTCTCATCCCACTTGTTATTTCTGTTCGCCTAATACTTCAGCAGCCTTCAAAACCGACTTATGAGGCTACAGCTTTCGGACGAACAGACGGACTAAGCTAAATCAACTCAGCTTGTTGTCCTGATCTGGAATATGTATACACACACATATGCATACGTAGCAAAAACATAGTTATACCCAGATTTCCAATATTAAAAAACCCTTTTGTTATGTTTCTCTAAATGTAAATTTATTTAATCTTGTTCATTGCGATATTAATGTATGTTTATGTTTATAATAGACACAATATTCCGTATATATATATATATTATATATAAGTATATATGCAGGCGCATCTCGTTAGATATTTGATGTATAGATAGCAAAATTATGCACGCGTGATTCGTATTATTATTTACAGGAAATCCCTTTGAAAGAGTTTAAAGTTCAGAATGAATGGAATTTTGGCACAGATAGACGAGTTCAAGCACAAAGCAAATCGTAATGTATGTATATATAATATAGTATATATAGTAGACCCCAAGCAAAATAAAATAAAAATTAGGAATATTTGAATAACGTCTGTTTCACATATTCAAATCAAATTTTGAGGCGGGAAACTTACTTGAACTACCTTTCGGTTCAAGGGCCAAGACACGTGCACATCTAGCATATGTATATATTATATATATGTATATGTATTTGTGTGTGTGCTAATACTAAGGCATACCTATTAAAAGATTTTTTGCGCGAGTTTCATTACAGTTCATTTGTTTTATATTTATTTTTATTTGTTCTTAAATTGTTACTAAATATTTGATTACTTTTTCATATATGTTAATACTCTTCTTTTTTTGTTGTTGGTATTTTGCTTTGGTTTTTGAACATTTAGACGAGCGAGAGAGCGAGAGAGGATCATGATCTTAACATTTATAGTTTGATGGTGCAATAACTTTTTCAACAGTGTAGCAACAATTTGCAGTATGGTATACATATATGTATATAGTATATATAAGAACATTTTAAACTCTTTGTGCTATGCAGACAGTGTTTGTGTAAGTTATACATAGTAAATCCAATATATATATTTACGTATATATATATATAGTTAGTTGTAATAGAAATTTAATTGAATCGAATCGGAACACGAATAAAAATTAAACATTTGCATCAAGTGAATGGAAATTGTAGTTTGCTCTTGTAACTTCCTGTAACGTGTTTGTAGAATTCGCTTGAAGTAAGAGATTATCGTGATTATCGCGTAGTTGTTGCCCAAATTTAAGCATCGGTCTCAGATCGTCGCCTCCGTCCAGGACCGCCCGGAAAATTGGCCGCGGCCAGGCCCATGCGATGCTTTGCCTCCTGGGTGCCCGAGTAGCCGCGCGCCAAGCCAAAGTCCACCGTGCGCTTCGAGCTAACGAGGGGAGAGAGGAAGGGGAAACAGGATAACATGAATACAATAAGAACGGAAGCGCTAGGACTGTATACATGGGATTATTTGGAATACTTACTTCTCCAGGTCGTTGCGTGCTCGTATTATGGTGCGACCAAAGCGCGTCATCAACTCCATCAAGAGGTCGTCGGGCACTTCCTCGAGTTCGTTGTAGCCGCCATAGCCGCCGTTGGAGCTTTGACTGTATATTGTGGGGAGGGGGGGTCAGTGAAGCGAGATATTAAAATCTCTATAAATGCTCATATTAGGCTGCCCTGACGCTTCTATAAATAATTAATGCAATGCAATGACAAATCAAAGCTGTTCCAGCCGGCCTGCCAACGTAATTAAACAATCAGGCTCCCTAATTACTTTGCCTTGTAATTTACATTTGTTGCGTATCTGGCATTTGCATGGAAATCGAATGTCAACGTTCACTCTCTAACTCCCACTCTCTGTGAGGAGAGAGAGAGAGAGAGAAAGTGCGAGAAATGTCAATGAATGTAATTTTCCATTCGAGCAGTCGCCTCGTTAAAAGAACTCTAAGCATATCAAGAAGTGTGTGCGCCTCAGCTGTCGTCTTAGTGAGAGTTTGAAACACGAAAATACAATGTTTGCAGCTTAAAGTGTCGCATCAGCACGAGTTTACATTTAGTTAATTAAAATTTCTACGAGCTGCGAGGCATATTCAAAATGCTAATGCAAAAGAGAACTCCAAGATAACAAAAAAAAGAATGAATAAGGAAAGTGTGCAATTGACAAAGGACACGCGCAGCCACATACACACACACACACATGCATACATATACAGTTTTCTATATGCGTTGTTGAAATTAGCATCATCATCTCAGCTCTTAGCTCTCAGCTTGCCAGCTCTTGGCTGATGCCAAAAATGCTCTCTACGCTGCCGTTTGCCTGCTGGTTAGCCTTGCCCAAGTTAAATTCCCCTCAACCAACTCTCTCCCGCCCTGTCCCTCTACCTTTCCCCATCACCATCTCGTGCACTCTGAACACTCTCGGATAATTGGTTTTGGCAAATATTTTTATACAAAATTCAGAATTCGCAGCTTAAGTGGCAGGAATTAATTAGTTCGTGTGCGATAAAGATAAATGGCATACAGCTAAGGATATTCTACAACTACCTGGGCATGGGGGCTGCATCGGTTCGCGAGATGGCCAGCAGGCAGATGCTCATCACGGCCAAGGCAGCGAACGCAATTCGGTTTGTCATCATTGTGCTGCGATTTATTAGCTGAAAATAGAGGGAGATAGAGAATGAGAAGAAAGTCAGTTAGAGTGTGTGAAAAACAATTATCAGAGGTCTGATTGTTAGAGCGTTTTAGTTTAAGCTACTTAGAGTTAAGCTCCCACTTTCATGGCCCACCTTGCGTATGAGCAGTATTCCCCAACAATTAAAAATCGATCGGCAGGACAGCCCCTAGTCATAGTCGACCACAAGCGGAAGTCCGAGGTATACCTTTTCCCATTAGGTGATTCATTAACTACTCAACGAAACAGAAGCCCACATTCCTGCCCCCTGTCCCTGTCCTCTGCTCTCTTTCCATGGCTTGACTTCCTGTCCATTTGACTACTGCCCAGTCGTTCGACTCGTTTTGCCCCTCAGCTTTGCATTCTGCACCCACTTCCTGTCGTCGGCTGACCCAGTCCTGCCCATAATGCTGTTGTCACTGTTATGTTTACAGTTGCGAAAGTTTAACAGCTCTGTGACAACTCCCTGACATCAGTGGCCAGGCAAAACGCCCCCATCGCCTGAGAGCACTTCAAATGAATTGGCCCACTGCACCTGTCCGCCTCTGAATGCCCGATGTCCGATGCATGACTCTGACATTCAACTCTGAGCTGGGCTCTCATTTAATCATTTGGCACTTCGGTCGTTTGCCCGGAAGTGCCCCCAGGCACATGCACCTGCGCATACCCGTGCACATTCAAAGTGCACTCTCGTTGATAGACGCGGCGATATTTGTCATCCCACAGGCCCTTCAATGTGTGTGATGAACTAAACAAAACTGAACTGAGGGATCGCCGGAAATCAATCGCGTGTGCTCCGAGCCATTTTTAATAGCAAAATCAAATAAATTTCATATAATTCTTGCATCTACCAACGGATCTGAGCAACTTCAACTTAGAAAATGATTGATTTAGTTATTCATATGCATATTAGTGGGAGTTCAAAAGGAAGTGATGCATAGACCATTGCATATGCATAGACCATATAATATAATTTAAGACTATTCCGATAGCATTAAACTCACATTAAATATAAAACAAAATAATATTTAGTATAGATTAACAGAGTATAAATGTATTTACATAGAATAAACTTAATTATAATTTATCTATAACTATAAATATATACATGTATATCATCTGTTTTCGCCAAATATACAACTAGCTCTTCATAATTATTTCCAGTGCAGAACTGATATAAAATGTATTTAATATCCCGTAGATTTGATTAATTATATTTAAAACTTATTCAGATTCCATCATTAGACATTAAATGTAATTTAATATATGTATTCAGCTACAGGTGAATATTAAGAGCTGTCGCCAAGGACAGAAACACTTGACTGGGCTTAAGACAGCCGTGAAATGGAATGAATTTCACTTATTTACTTCACATCTTCAACTAATTGAATTAGCTCACAGCCAAACTACCATAGACTAATTAATTCTTGCATTGGACAGAGAACGCAGCCAGCAAGAGGTCAAGTGCAAAAAAAGAAAAGGGCCCGATGCGTGAGTGGGCAATTACGAGGGGCAATTGCTTTGTGCAGACCTTTAAGTTATTTACAAAGGGAGTCAAGAGAAATCGCTTTAACTTTCAACTGCTTGGGTCGAGGAAATGTTTGGTCATAAAGGACCATTTGCCACTCGGAGATAAGAAGACGTGCGGGTTTCTCTGCGAGTCTTCAGCCCGTTTTAAAGGCTGATTCCAAATCAAATAAATTGGACCAACATTTCAAAAGAAAGCCAAACGAAGTCATATACGCGCACAATAAGATCAATATGTGATTGCATTTTATGACCCACACGTTTGCCTCTTCACAGTGGCTGTGACTGTGACTGTGACAGTGAGTGCGACTTGGACTGGGACTGTGACTGTGACTGGGGCAAGCTACAGGTTGCTGGCTGTGTGCCATCTGCTAGCCTCGGGTTCTCTTATCGAACCGCAGCAACAAGCGGGAAATGCTCAACTGAACTGGGACACATCAAGCGAACGAATGGACACTCATCGCACTTTTAACAAATAAAGCAATAAACCGATTTTACGCCGCCCCGGACAATATCCGCTCATCTCAGTTTCATTTTATACCCTTCGAGGCTCTGGAGGGGGTATATTAACTGTTTTGAAATCATGCATTTGTTAATTATTTATATATTTTGTATATTTAATAAAAATGTTTAAAAACAGATATTTTTTTCTTAAATATATTACCTTGCATTAATTAATTTTGTGGGGGAAACAATTGTTTTTACATATTATTCTTAAAGTAAATAATTGACAGCGAAAATTTAAATTAAAAATTAAGTAATTAATTAGTCAATTTATTATTTTAAAGCAAGTATATTTCTATTAATTTTGGTTTTTAGTGTGTCTGGAGAATATGATGGCAAAGTCATATTGTGAATATTTTCAACCAAAACAAATGAGTTGTTGGAAAATCCATGGCAAAGCTAGTATCATAGGCGTCCATCGAATAGTATTATTTACTATGACAGACAGTCGATTCTATTTTTTTAGAATTAAAAATGTATATTAAAAACAAATAGAGTATATCTAAGTAGAAACTTAGTTCCCTCTACGCTATTAGCTGGGAGCGTGCTTCTTAGAAGCAACCAGTGTCTGTTCTTTTGTTGCCATTCGAAATTTTCATTGGTGCCACGGAGCGTATGATTGTGGTTTGTGGCTTGTGACTTGGAGCATTTGTTGTCCAGGCGACGACTGCTCAGTGATGCGATGGGCATATGAATGAGCGAGCTTGTCTGACCAACCGTTTATCAATCATTTTCGCATTTGATTTATGGCCGCCTGCGCAGCCATAATGAGTGGTGCGTAAATATATATATGCATATATATACATACAAACATATATGACGTATACGCCCCGGGTACCTGCAGCAGTTGCCCCGCTCAGTGGAGTGTAAAGCAGAGCGCACATAAATTTCGATTAGTTTTTCATACATACGGCTTTGGATTTGTTTGCTCTTGGGTCTGATAGCCAACCGTGAGCCAGCTCACGAGCATTCGATTGTATTTGTACACGATGAGGCTTAAAGGCTTAGCACAAATGCAAATAAAAATAAAATATTATCCAAAAATAATAAACATATAATATAATATTTGCGCACAAATAAGCAGATAATCAACAATTGTTGGGTCAGTGCACAATTCATATTGCGCTCGATTTGCGAATAACTAAATATTTATAATGCTTGTCCGCAGCAAACTCAGCTGCAGGCCCACACACACACACGCCTACTCGTGGCCTGTCTGCTGCCTGCCTGCCATCTGACTTCACACTTGGCTGAAATGAAATGTGTATTGGCTGCAACTTCTGCTTCAGCTGCTGCGGCGCTGCTCCAGTGCTCCTTGCTATCCGTGCTATCGCGCGTCGGAGTGATTCGCTGATTCAGTGACATGAATTTTATGCTCTGAGCCAGCCAAGTGCCAGACGATTAATTATAAAATGCAGCTGATAGTTGTCTCAAATGACGCTCGCAGCGAAGCTTGATGCAAACGAATTTCCCTGAATTAATAAACACTAAAAAACATGACAAGCTGAAATATAAATTATCTTAAACAAAAAAGGAAGAATTAAATTTTTAAAAATTATACATTTGTTTATATGAAAATCATTTCTGTAGATTATTCTTTAAATAAATGTATAGTAATAAATTCTTTAAATAAATGTATAGTAATAAATTAATACAATAATAAAAAATAAATTATTGAGATTCTAGAAGAGGCTTGTATGTTTTCTTATATTCCTAACTTTAATGTAAAATCTTCAAAAATAATTACTGTAAGTATTTAAGTAGATTACATTAGGGCTGCACTTTATTTTATGTCAAAAAATTCTAAAAAATCATCATCATCTCATCCCTCAATACCAGCAGAGCGTAGTTTTTAGTGTTCTCAAACTTCGCACATAAACAAATTATACAACACTGCCCCTGACACTGATATGAATACTGAAAATATTTACGAAAACTCACTAAAGAACTAATGTGCTTAAAACTTGGAGGGGGTTAAGCTATCAATTTTGCACTTTAAACTTACCAAAAACAATTAATAGTTAGTTTTTGGTAAAATTTTGGTGTCGCTTCTGGAAACAGTTTTGCTTAACACAAATTTTCTCGCCACTTAAGCTCAACAAAAATTAAAACTTGGTCTGCACACATGCTGCCTGACAGCCTGCAGTGCCACTTGGTTAAAGGTGCCGCCGTGTTGCTTTAATTTCCATCATGTGCCAGAACTTTTGCTTGTATTAAAACAAACATCGTTAACACATTCATACTCACATACACGTGTATGTGGTGCATGTAAATTGCTTTGGTAGCCAAAGGAAAAGCACGAAAATAATGCGTATCTCAGATATCACGAAAACTAAATACTCTTTAGTGGGTGGATATTAGCCAGGTTTTTATTATATTTATTCGTTAAGCCATGAATTTATAAACTTGTTTTTCTAATAAAATTTATTTTGTTTTATTATTTTCTGTATTTAAAAAAAAAAAATAAATATAAAAAAAAAACTCGTATAGTATAATAATATTTCTTCTTATAAAATCCTGAAAGTAATCTGCAATCGACCTGACTTTGAAACCGGAGTTTCCAATAATATTTGATAAATTCCTTCATAAATAATATCGCTTTAGTCTTTACTTATTTCTAATTTTAAAGGCGTTTCCTTGTGCTGTAGTAAAATAACTAACTTTTAATAAGAATAAAACCAACTTCAAAACATTTTAATTTTGTATGAGCTGAGTCGCTGACACTTATTTGTAAAACAACCGGGAATCAAAGGCACAATATATGTAAAAATAAACAAGAGATGGACACATTATCACCAATATGGTATAGATCAGCTTTATTAACACTTCAAATAAAGCAGGTCAAGTCAACCTTTGCTCTTAGTTTTTGTTTATATTTAAGTAACCCTAAAGCGCTGACAAAATGCCTGATGCGCTCGCTCTCAAAGTGGATAGTCATAAAACGTATATACT